CTTTTCTTGTTCCTTTCTCAGATTTTTTTTGGTCTCCGGTTTTCGGAGCAGGAAGAGGTGTGTAGGATTCAAACTTTCTTTGTCCTTCAGACTTCCAATGTCTCATTCATCACTCTTAGAACATGAGATTTTTTTTGTCTCGTTCATCACGCTTAGAACATCAGATCCTTTTCGTCTCATTCATCACCCTCAGAGCATCAAACCTCTTTTCGTCTCATCCATCGCCCTCAGAGCATCAATATCCTTTTGTCCCATTCATCATCCTCAGAACATCAATCTCCTTTCAACTTTCCTCTTCTCGCTGCCCCTGCTTTTCCCCCGAGTCTTGCCATCCCAAGCGCCCCTTTGGTTGATCCTCCTTCCATCCCGTCCCAACCAAGTCTCTTTTCCGGCTTCCGTCACCCTTAATGCCTCTTCTACTCGGCTCTTCGGCCCATGCAATCCATGTTTTCTGTCATCCTTTCCTCAATCTCAAGCTCGGCCAAATTCACATGTATTTCTTTCAGGTCTTTCTGCCCGGTCTTTCTCTAGTCTTGCCTTTTTCACATGCACGTCTCCCTCATTCGACCTTTCTTGTACCCAAACTCAATCAATTTTACATGCATGTTACCCAGTCCATTTCATATGCATTTTTCTTCTGGACATCTTGCAAGGTCTTTCCCAAGCTCACGCAAAGTCAATTACTCATACATACATTTTTCTTCTGGGCATCTTGTCAGGCCTTTCTCAAGCCTACGCATCAATTACACATGTCTTTCTCTTCTGGACATCTTGCCAGGCCTTCCTCAAGCCCACGTAAAGTCAATTACACATACATTTCTCTCCTGGACATCTTGCCAGACCTTTCTCAAGCCCACGCAAAATCAATTACACATGACTTTTTCTTCTGGACATCTTGCCAGACCTTTCTCATGGCTACGCATCAATAACATTTGTCTTTCTCTTCTGGACATCTTGCCGAGCCTTTCTCAAGCCCACGCAAAGTCAATTACACATACATTTCTCTTCTGGTCACCTTGCCAGGCCTTTCTCAAGCCCACGCAAAGTCACTTACTCATACATTTCTCTTCTGGACATCTTGCCAGACCTTTCTCAAACCTACGCAAAGTCAATTACATATGCCTTTCTCTTCTGAACATCTTGCCAGACCTTTCTCAAGCCCACGCAAAGTCAATTACTCATACATTTTTTGAGGTCATGGCAACCTTATCTTTTTGCACGCTTTGTCATCGGTAGATGGCACACCTTCCCCCCACTCAAAATGCGATGTCCCCATCGCACGACTGATTCTCACTTGGAGGTACGCAGACCTTACCCTGCCAACTGAGTAGACGGATGCCGGCCCATCAGCCTAAAAAAGGAAGGGTGATCAGTCCTCCCCCGCTGATAACTCACCTCATCCTCTACTCTAGTCCGATGGCCACTTCTTTGGAGATGGGCATCATCATTGAGGTGTCTCCTCGCATCTGTTAGGCGGGTCCAATCCACACCTCCCAGGGCCCCATCATACCACAAGTAGTCCCCTCGCGAATCATTCCTCCCAAGTGGTATTTTCTTGGATCCGGCCTTTTCCTTTCAAGAGAGTTGGGGCTCTCTGTTAGTCTATGAGTGCAGTTACGAAGACCTCGCGGTTAGTCCCGGAACGTTTGTAATGATCCGGCAGGACGGTGTCACTCGCCCTGTGGTGGTTGCGGCTTCCACCTAGTACCCCGCCCGACCCCTCCCTTTGGACAATGCCGCTCAACTTACTGCGAGCAACCTTGGTCCATCCCAAACGGCCACACCGCCCCTCAACGGTATAACGTGTGGTTGGGGAGAGAAAATGAGACTTAGGAAAAGAACGACTCTCTTGCCCGTTTGGCTCCACGCCCTTGACGTTTAGGTTCTCAGTATGAGGCGAGGTTTGAACTCCACGACCAGAGCTCGTTGTCGGAGGTAGTTCCGGACGGCGAGCATCGATCAAAGAGAACGATAACTTGGTCCTTCAACCCTTATCCTTGGTTATGAGGAATAGGTCACGCTGGGACTTTTCCCTTGACGGGTAGAGGTCCTGGGGTCGCGGTGCATGCATCGCTATTCCCCTCATGTTAAGACCTGAGACTATAAAGAAAGGAAAACTCAATTTCTTGCTATTTCTATAGTCGGTCCGACGACCTTTCCTCAAATTGCATAGGGTCCCCTGATTATGCAATGCAATATCTATTTCTCTGAAAAAATGCTAAATCCAACGCTTTTTCCAGTTTTTTCCCAAGGCTGATTCTCATGGCTGGTCCGACAACCTCTCTTCAACAAGGCCACCCTCTGTGACCGTTCTGATGGTCGCTCTTTTAATAGTCATCTTTCAAGGCCGACCCGTCGGCCCACCCTCAATCCTCAACTCTCACATTTCTCAATATCCAATCCTTATGACCGTCTCAACGGTCTATGCCCTTCTCGTCTTAAGGCTCGGCCTCCTTTATCCTGCCGTTCTCATTCCAAGGCCTCATTCTCGTTCGTCCATTCTCATGGCTACCTCAATGACCGACCCACCGACTTTTTCTATTTCACATTGCTTATTCCAGCTCATTCTCAATCAACCTTTCTCAATCTGTCACGCAGGGGACCCCAGTGCCTATTTCAAAAGAAATGACCCTTGTTAGGGGTCATTTCCGAACAACCTGGTTAGGGTCGTTCTTTTCCATTCTCAAATTGAACAGCCTGGTTAGGGCCATTTATTTTCCATTCTAATCGAACAGCCTGGTTAGGGTCATTCCTTTTCCATTCCAATCGAACAGTCTGGTTAGGGCCATTCGTTTTCATTCTGAAGTCGAACAGCCTGGTTAGGGTCATTCCTT